TGCTCAACCTAGAGTGAAGGCAGGAAGGAACTGAAGGTGGCTGGAGATGGCTGCTGCTCACCCTCCTAGCCTGCTCGGCCACTGGGACGGCTCCTCCTGCTTGGGGCTCTTGATCAGTGCGCTAACCTCACTGCCCCATGGCATTATCCATCCTCTCTGCCCAAGTTGCTCTGTGTTCCGTCACTGTTCACGCTAATCTTTGCTTGAGGAAACTTCGGTTGCAGATTGAAATGTTTCAGGTTGTGCATTTTGCGTGATGCATGTAGTAGCCATTCCTGATCACAGAACAGATTTCTTGTTCGCACAATCTACACTGCCTTACTTTTACTTAAGCCAGACACACAAGGTGCTCAGACATGAAATGTATGTGCTGTATACAGAGGGACTTGAGCCAGTTACCTTTGCTGTCACTTTCTCTCTTGGAAGTTCTGCTGACTTAAACAATGTCCTCTTTGGAAATGGTATCTAAAATAAAGGCTCTGTGCTTGACAAATGCCTGTCCATCCTTACTGAAGGTAGGAAGTGCTTTAAGTGTAGTCAGACACTCAGTTGTGTCTGACTTTTTGTGACATCATGGACTGACAGTCTGCCAGGCTCTTCTGTTCATGGGATTCTCCTGGCCAGAATATTGGAGTGGGGTGCCATTTCCTCCAAGGGATCTTCTCAACCCAGGGATCGAATCCGCATCTCTTAGGTCTGATGTATGTGGTCCTTAAAGGAAGTATTTTAAGGACCACAGTCATTAAAGGAAGTGCTTTAAGGACCACATAAGTCAGTTGCCCTTGCGGAAAATAATGGAAAAGAGAAGTAGCCAGGAGAGTGATATTATATAATACAGGTTTACCCATTATCCGAAAGTAGAAAGTACAGCATGCCTATGAAACCTTTTGTAAGCTGAAATGGTGTGAAGCGAAGAAGCAGTTACACTAGGGCACATCTTGCTAATGGATGCACAAAATACATCAAGATAAGAGCACAGATGCTCACAGACACAGTTCAAAGCTATGACGGCTTGCTGCCGAGATGCTGTGTAACTCTTGGGGAAGGAGCTGGGTGGTGTCAGTCACTGCTCAGGGTTCATGCTGCTTCTTAACCACACTGAATGCTATTTTTGCTTTTCTCCTTTTATCATAAAAGCAAAAATCCTCTCTGGATTCCTTTGCGTAGTGAAAACAGGTATTCATGTAGGTCTTTTCTAAAAGTGAAGTGGCATGAAGTGAACTTTCAAAAGTTCATGTAGCATACATACCACTCCAAGGTACCTATTGTACTTAATGGGCCTTGTTCTATTCTTATTTTTTTTTTTTCTAATTTTAAAATAAAAACTGCCACCAACCCTCTAAGCAGCCCTGCTGCTGCTTCTGTTAAGTTGCTTCAGTCATGTCTGACTGTGTGTGACCCCATAGACAGCAACCACCAGGGTCCTCTGTCCCTGGGATTCTCCAGGCAAGAATACTGGAGTGGGTTGCCATTTCCTTCTCCAATGCATGCATGCATGCTAAGTCACTTCAGTCGTGTCCGACTCTGTGCGACCCCATAGACAGCAGCCCACCAGGCTTCTCTGTCCACGGGATTCTCGAGGCAAGAATACTGAAGTGGGTTGCCATTTTCTTCTCCACTAAGCAGCCCTACAAGGTAGGTTACTGCTTGCCACTCAACCTCACAGGCTCAGAATTCTCTTCAGAGTAACTGTAACTAAAGGAATACATTTTGTCCAACCCCATAGCTTAGTCATCAAATGCTGGATTTGAGCACTTCAGGTGATCGATCATGAAATCTACGTTTGGACTTAATGAGATGAGCTGCCTTCTTGGAAAAGTGCACTTTGTGCATCTAAAGAAATGATGATGTGCTATGCTTCAAAGCCATAGACTAACTCACATTGGGACATTACTTGTGATAATAAGTAGGTACTTATTTTCATCCAGAGTTGCTCTAACTTTATACTGGAGCATTACTTCTGAGAAGAATATATGATTCTGAACTTGTTTCTATCTCTGCTGCTTATTAATATTTTCATCTGCCTTTACTGTAACTTACCGGAACTTCCAGTTAGGTTTTAAAACCAGCCTGCTGATTGATATGCGTTCTGTATGTCAGGAGAGCCCATGGCAATGTAGCTGAGATTTTTCTTTTAGTTGGCCTGAGTGAGAAAAGCTCTTGGCCATCGTCAGGGTTCTTCTGTCAGTGATGTCTTAGAATTATTTCAAGACTGAGGGAGGGGCAAGTGCTGTTAAGTTTCCTTCATAGACTCGTTGATAACACATCAGGAAATGTGTCATGTATGTGTATGACACAACATGTTGGCTATTTTATCGATCCCTTTTGTCTCCAAAAAGTCCTGGCTGTATTCCTCTGAGGACTGATGAGCTAATGAAGAAGCACTGCTTTAAGATGGAGAAAATGAAATGAGAAAGGGGCTGCTTTGCTTTCAGTCACCAGTCCCTATGCTCACCTCTATGGTGGGACCAGACCAGTCAGCAGGTGCTACACTTACTCCTTTCTGGGGTGTTTCCTTCAAAATGTCTTGGTTCCTTGCTTTCCTCAATGATACAAAAGGCCTATGAGAATTCCTCAGAAGTCAGCCTGTATAAAAGATTATCATCATGTTTTCTGCTGTGACACCAATAAGATAACTAAAAGTAGCACCAAGGACCATTTCAGGTGCCCATTATGGAGTCAAGTAAACGATCTCAGTCTAGAGTACTCATAGCAGAGGTGGTAACAAGAGACACTAACAGGAGCGGGGAATAAAAGCAAATACCTACTGGCTAGCACGTGGAGAGGGTAGGGCGCTAGGCTTCACAGGCCCTGCTTTACTGACACTCTTAAAAGATAACACAGAAAATTGTGATGCAATATGACAAGGGTTTGGGCATGATCCTGTGAGAGCCACCAAAAGTTGTTAAGCAAGAAGGTGATGATGAAATATATGTCATATCGGTCACTTTCATACTTTCAGTGAATTCTCTATTCATACAAAATCTTTCTTGGAAACTTGAAATGTAACCTACATGGATGTAAAGCAGCTCTGGCACATGTGTGTGTGTATACACATGCACATGAACACAATCATTCCCTTTTTTTTAAGCTCCCCAGGTGGCTTCGATGTCCCCCTGGATTTATTTTTAAGATTTTTTAATACAGACCATTTTTAAAGTCTTTGTTACAGTATTGCTTCTGTTTTATGTTCTGTTTTTTTTGGTCACAAAGCATGTGGGATCTTAGCTCTCAGACAAGAAATCGAACCCACATCCCCTGCCTTGGAAGGTGAAGTATTAACCACTGGACTGCCAGGGAAGTCTCAATTCCTTGTACTCTTAAAAGCATTTTGAGAAACTGCGCCTTCAATGCCTGGTGCAGAGGACTGGCTGTAACTATGTCCTCAGCATTTCAGTACACAGAGAACAGAGCAGGGGCTCAGGATGTGTCCACTGAACTAATGTTCTTGTAACATAACTAGAACTGGCTAAAAATTTCCAATTAGAGGGCATTTTTAAAAAACTTTTAACTTTAGGTCATGGAATTCAGCTAACAGATATATAATCCAAATGATACACCAGTTATAACTCTCAGGAATTCCCCCTTGTTACTAATTTAAAACAACTTATATTAGGGACAAGTCAGTCTGTAGACAAACAACATTGTAAGTAGGTCTAATTTGTTTACCCCTTACAAAAGTCTTTTAGAAAATTCTTTTTATATTTATAAATACCTAAAAGCACACTGAGCATTACAAAAATAAGGAACTCATAAAAGCATTCACAAGAAAATTACAGCTGTGGCTCCTTTGTCATCTGCCTGACCTTCTTAGAAAGGACTCTTTTCTACTCTTTAACAGTGCTTTCAAAAAGCACTCAGACAGAGTTAATAAGACAATTATTTCTTGATTTTCAATAGTAGGCTTTGAGAAGACAGTACAAAAAGTACAAAATAGTCTATTTTCTTGCAGTAATGATAGATTTCAAAGCTAAATGCATTTAAAAGTAGAAGAGGCTTTGTCCATTTAAATGATTCAGTGCTTGTATCTTTCAAATTGATTTTGCGTTATAGTTATATACAAAACAATTAGTCCATGTTTCTCCATTTGGCCCATGCCTAAACTATAAAAAGAAAATTATAGCTATCTCCTCCAAGCTGCTGAGCTATGATGAATGTGGTAATAAACATACTATTTCCATGCCATGGGAGTTTGTGATTATAAGACTAAGCATTAAGTATTTTATTTATGGCAAAGATATACTATGAGCTAAGGTCCAAAATATACACACACACTTATTAACTAAAGGGAAAGAATACATAAATACATCTTAGACATGTAACAACAAATACCACCACCCTGGCAGCTTGCTCTCCCATTTCTAACAATGTGTTATCATCTGAATGACCATTTCTAGAATAAACCTCTAAGGACAAGGGTACCAATGCTGACAAAGGCATTTCACTAACTGTAAACCAAGTATCATTCAAATGTACTCATGTGGTTAATAACTAGTTGATGTCAAAAAACATTTTATTCATTCACTCAACATGATAAACTTTGGTTTCCTTATCTGCAAAAGGGAGAGATACCTACCTTCACTGAGTTATTATGTAGATTTCATTATTAATAGACATTCAATAAGTAATAATACTCTTAAGTTCCCCTGATGGCTAAGCACTGGACTGGTCACTGGTAGTATTGAGAATATCAAAAGGTCTCCATTCTCAAGAAGCTTAGTCTCTAGGACCACCTACTACTGAATAATTCTTGATATGGTTCAACTGCTGTTTTATTATGTTTTTTTTCTGGTATAATATAGGAGAAATTTTAAGAGAAAACACTGACATGTTTTACCAAAAGCTACAAGTTTATTAACATAATATATTCTAACATATATCAGTTTCAAGTGGGTCTTTTTCAATCTCAAATAAGAAATCACAATATTGAGCATTTAAAGAAAAAAAAAAAGTGGTAGTCATTCATGGGTTTTAGTCCAAAGTGAAAATGCAGAAAACGTTTACTTTGGTGGATCTGTGTTGATGCCATATTTCTCCTTAAGAAGCTTCAACTGTTCTTCCTTCTTCTTTGTGTCCATCTTCTGAAATGCCTGAAAGTGTGGTAAGGACCACAGTTAACAGTTACCAACCTGGTCAAATGAATTTCACCAACAGCACTGGCTAGAGAGAACTCTGGAGAGACATCTCCCCTAATGGTGCAACCCCCCACTAACTCTTACATGGGTCCCCCAGGTGATGAGGACCGTGCCTGTACTTACCCTGTTGGCATTATAGTACAAAACCACAAGGTATCTGTTACAAACATTGAATCCCGACAGGTGATCACATGCATTCTTGGCATCAAAGATGTCTTCATAGACCACATAAGCTGTTCCTCTAGTTTCAGGTGTGTTCCCCCTACAAAGGTGAATTGGACTTAGTTAAAATACACATTTACCTGAAAACCTTTAGGGGAAATAGATACCATGGACAGGTATGCTGAATAAGCCTTTAATTTCTTGAATTAGGTAATTTTTTTTTTTAAGTACCATATCTCAGATGAAACTTACTATACTAACAATACTAATATGGTTACTAAGACAATAGCAGCAAACAAGCTTGAAACATTCAGTCTTCATGTTCACTACCCTACTAAGAGAGAGCAGTCCTCATGTTCACTTTCCTACTTCTCATACTAAGAATCAATTTTTAGTCTTACACTGGTAAGTATAGTACCTTAGGAGTGATAGCTGTTATTACCAATGATGTCTAGGATGCAGCTTTTCTTACTGTGCATTTATGCAACAGAAACAACACGTTTTGGTTATTTACCACACTAGTCCCTTGTTTCTAAAGATTTTTATTTTCTCCCTCATTCTAATTTTAGTTCCAATTCTTAAACACAAGACAGTCTCCATCAATGCAGGTAACAAACGTTTCTGGGTAGTATTTTACTAAAGCTTATAAAATCCATAAAAATAAATTTTGTGTCTGTGGCAGGAGTGGGGTTGGAAGAAAACCCTACCAAGAAGATGGCAAAATTAAAAACAGTCAACTACCATGTTTTATGACTAGGACAGGGTGTCCTCCGATGTAGAGAGAGAGCTCATGTAGTTTCTTCCATTTTCCTTAGACAATTCATTGCCCTTTTAAAACAACAGAGTCAACAGCTATCCTTCAGACATTCACTTTTAGTAATATCTGCACTTTTATGCATTACACAGCCTTTTAGCCAGGGAAAAGGGCTGGGTTTCTGGAGGGATTGGGTTTGAAGTGTGGTTGTTGATGGGGTACCTGTGAGTCAGAGAAGAATGCTGGCAGGTGGCTGAACACGGAAGCTCATGGATATGGAGCTGCTTCTTGTGTAGGGAAGCTATAGGGCTGCCACCTCCTCTCCTCATGCCAGCTTCAGGTAGGGGAGGAGCTAGGGAAGTGTGAGGAGCAACAAACTGCAGGTGGCAGATGGCCATGTGCTTATGAGTGGGGACAGCTGGCAGAAGTCCCATTCAGCTTATGCTCTGGTAAGCTAAAGATGGATATCCCCTTGCCTCCATCTGAGTTCCAGCCACCCAATGCAACTGCAAAATAAGGTTTATCAACTGCCACAGTGACTGCACAGGGTCAAGGGAAGGCAGTGGGCCCATGGGAAGGGGAGTCACCTGCCTAGATTTGATCTAGGATGAGACTACAGTTTTGGGCCCTGGTCAGAGCTTGTGCTTCCTGTAAAAGGGAGAGGTGTAGGGGGGTGAGGGGGTTGGAGGATGCCAGGACCATAGAACACTCTCACTTTGTCAGACTGCATGGGCCTGATGAAGAATTTTAACCATTTTCAAGAATGCTTATTCTTGAAATATTGGGGAATACCCAAAGGAAAAAAACACTGTCCCAAAGATTTCCCCCAAAAGTCCACTTAAATTTTTATTTTGGAATAAAACCATTAAAAAAAAAAGTAATAATTTAAGTTCCAAAAGGGCAAATATGTTTTTTTTATTTTACTCCTACAGTGCTATGCATACAACAAGTCCTAATAAGCATCTGAAGGATGGAGATCTACTTTCTCCTATCAGTTCTCACACACATCTTTTTTCCAGGAAGCTAACAAAACAAGAGTGTCTCTCTTTTTGCTCTTACATCTTCTTAGGAAGTAGAAGCGGAATAGGCACTAAACCCATTTTAAAGATGCTCCATCTCAAGTGCCCCAGCCCCTAATTATCAACCTAGTATCTTGAAATCTACATTGTAATTTTAATTAAAAATATATACTTGACAGCCACTATGGAAAACAGTGTGGAGATTTCTTAAAAAGCTGGAAATAGAGCTGCCATATGACCCAGCAATCCCACTTCTGGGCATACATACCGAGGAAACCAGATCTGAAAGAGACACGTGCACCCCAATGTTCATCGCAGCACTGTTTATAATAGCCAGGACATGGAAGCAACCTAGATGCCCATCAGCAGACGAATGGATGAGGAAGCTGTGGTACATATACACCATGGAATATTACTCAGCCATTAAAAAGAATTCATTTGAATCAGTTCTAATGAGATGGATGAAACTGGAGCCCATTATACAGAGCGAAGTAAGCCAGAAAGATAAAGACCATTACAGTATACTAACACATATATATGGAATTTAGAAAGATGGTAACGATAACCCTATATGCAAAACAGGAAAAAAGACTCCGATGTATAGAACAGACTTGGGGACTCTGTGGGAGAAGGCGAGGGTGGGATGTTTCAAGAGAACAGCATCGAAACACGTATATTATCTAGGGTGAAACAGATCACCAGCCCAGGTTGGGTGCATGAGACAAGTGCTCGGGCCTGGTGCACTGGGAAGACCCAGAGGGATCGGGTGGAGAGGGAGGTGGGAGGGGGGACCGGGATGGGGAATACATGTAAATCCATGGCTAATTCATTTCAATGTATGACAAAAACCACTGCAATGATGTAAAGTAATTAGCCTCCAACTAATAAAAATAAATGAAAAAAAAAATAATAAAATAAAATAAAACCTAAAAAAAAAAAGTATATATATATATATACTTGGTACCTACTACTAATATATGTTAGGTGCTAAGTCAACAGTATTTTCTCTTTGGCCACACCACACAACTTACGGGATTTTAGGTCCCTGACCAGGGACTGAACCTGGGCCCTCAGCAGTGAGAGCTTGGATCTTAACCACTGGACCACCAGGGAATCCCTGCAACATTATTTTCTTGATCAATGGTAAAAGCTTAAAGTAAAAATAAGGAGATCTACTCATAGAACAACCTCTCTGAGCTTCAGCTGTTTCATGTGTCAAATAGTGACATCCTACCTCACACGTGGTTTTAATAAACAAAAGATGCAACAAGTATGAAAGAGCTTTAAAGAGTTCAAAGCACCGAGAGTCTACTACATGCCAGGTAAGCTGACAAATCAGCCAGGTTTGCCCAAGACTGTCCAGGTCTGGGCACTGAAAGCCCACTGTCCCAGAAAACTCCTTGGCTCTGGGCAAACTGAGAAGGCCACTCACCCTACTGCTGGGTGCCACAGAGCAGGACCACAGCTACAGGACAGGAACATCTGTTCCTCAGTCTATAACTTAGACCCAAGTTCTTGCACACCAAACTTTTATGAATTTATTCAACAAATATACATAGCGTTCTTTCTACATGACAGGTGCTGGAAATCCAATAGTGAAAAAGATGAGCATCATCCCTTCCTTCAAGGGGCTCTTTTCATGCAGGAGAAAGATATTATGTAAATACATACAAAACAGTTGCAGTTAATGACAGATTAATGGGAAGATAGTGGTTACTTTAGCTAGGGTGGTTTAGGAAAACTACTCTGGCATTGAAGCTGAGACCTGAAGAATGAGGAGCCAGAAATGAGATGAGCTGGGTGGAAATCCCTCCCAGACAGCAGACTGAAAGTTCTAAGGTCTTGAGCTACTCTGCAATCTTCATCTTGACTTAACTCCACTAATCTCTTAACTGTGTACTATCAATACATTTTGTTATACCTTCATAAATACACTGCCACTTTTTATATTATTCATTTACTTACAGGCATCGTGTGCTTAATATGTGTCAGGCACAAGAGTTGTCAACATAAGTGAAAAGAATATATGGTTATCTTCCCTGGAGGAGTCCAAAGGCTGGCAGGAGCCACGAGTGAGCACACAGTCAACAGCAAAACCACGTGACAACTAAGAGGAGAAGCTATGGGAGCACAGAGGGGGTGGCTGACGCACACTGGGAAGGAAATACTCAAAGTGTGAACTATCTAATTTGATCCTCTGGGAAACTCTTCTAGAAAGATTTTATATCATAGATAAGGCTCCAGAAGGTTAACTGTTTTGCTGTTTCATATGACTAGCAAGTACCCAGTTAGTATTTGAACCTAGGTTACTGCCTCCATGTTAAAAGCTGAAAGGCACTGTCCACTCAGATTATCTTCTATGTAAGGAAAAAGCCAGGCAACTTGTCTAGAGACACATGACTCATCCTGAAGCAGAATCTTGTCTCCTGAACCCCAAGTCAAGGGATCTTCTGTATACCATTCTTGTATGTTTCAAACAAGAGTTCTTAACCTAGAGCTCATGTACCAACTGAAATCACATGTGAAATGTTGTGTGTATTCTGCAGAAACGGCCCAAAATTTTAATCAAATATGGAGAAAAAAAGAGTTCCTTAAAAGGACAGTTGGTCTATAACACTTCATTTTCATCTCTGTTTTGAGTACCAATGATGGTACATTTCTAGCTCTTTGTTTACTTTTTGGAGGAATAGTGATCACTGAAAAGAAGAAGCCTCAAGATCTCAGAGTTCTAAAAGCCAAGAATGAACTCTCAAGTCATAAAAGAATTCCAATGGAAAATAAAACCTTTAGAAATCTTCTTAGATGGACTCCTAGTTAATTGGCTCACATATACTAGTTAAAAGGACAGCAGCTGTGGTACTGTGCAGAGATTCAATTTAGAATTACAAGATTTTATCACCAAAGAGCTGCGTGAAACTAGAAAAGTACTGATACTTTTACTCTCTGAGCTTTAGTAGCCTCACCTGTGAAACAGACACCCTATCACTTCCACACAGGGTTGTAGTGTCAGTGATGCAAATAAAAGCACCTGTTAGTGTACAAATGGCATACAGCAGATGTTCAACAGATACCATTTGAAGCCCCAATCTTTAGATTAAATTAAAACATGGATTTATAATTACTTTGCCATATACTTCTAAATCTTCAACAGAAAGGTGTAGCTGGAAAAAAAATCATTTTTCTGTTACTTTTATATCTCTTTACACAACTTACTCAGAAATTGTGGTCAGTAAAGGAGACAGTGAAGACTGTTGAGAAAATTAAGAGTAACCACAGTAGAATACTTCTTTACAAATAGTAGGTATATAAAAAATGTCAGTTCTTTTTCTTCCTATCTGTTGCTTTCAAACCACTCATTACTACTTCATGCTCTGTATAATTTCGTAACTACCATTCTTGGCTTTCACTGAGTTGGATCATGAGGGTCTCTACGCTTAGTCTCTAGCCTCGTGGAGAGGCCCTCTGTCAGCTGTTAATTCTGAGATTATAAATTACACAATCATTTCTCTAAATGACATTTCAAAAGTTTCAGTAAGACTCACACTCTGATTTGACGAATAGGTCCATATTTCCCAAATATATCATACATTTCTTCAGCTGTGATTTTGTAAGGCAAATTTCTTATATATAAAATCCGATTTACTTCTGGTGGAAGTCGAATCTAAAATGAAAGATAATGGGTTATTATTATAATCAGAGACAAGAGTGCTACCATTTGAAAACACTGTCTCATAATACATTCTAAAAAAAAAGATACATAATTTTTATACACCAAGAATAAGAACTGTAATCTGACATTAACGAAAATGGCATGCTCTTGGGAAAAGCAACTGGGCACTGGTTATAGGGAGGGCTGTCAGTAGGAACTAACAAAGTCCAGGACCTCCCTGGTGGCTCAGATGGTGAAGCGTCTGCCTACAACGTGGGAGACCCACGTCAGTCCTGGGTTGGGAAGAGCTCTTGGACAAGGAAATGGCACCCCACTCCAGTACTCTTGCCTAGAAAATCCCATGGACAGAGGAGCCTGGTAGGCTACAGTCCAAGGGGTCGCAAAGAGTCGGACATGACTGAGCGACTTCATTACTACTACAAAATCCAGATTTTTAGTCATTACAGGTAAACAAAGATATCCAACCTCATTTAAAAGTCCTCAATGCTACAGACATTTGTGGGGAAAAACAAGGGAACTGTTTCCTGTTTACTGGATAATAAAACTCCCACTGATGACCCTTCTCTGTTCTCAGAAACTTGTTCTATCAATGATCCCCTCCTTTAAATTTATAGCCTTTTCCTCACTATTGGCTTTATTCCTCACGTGAACAGTTGCTTATATACACTCAATTGTCACACAAAATAAAACACTTTGGATCCCTCTTCATTCATTCAAATATTTAGTGAGCACCTTTGTTATATATATACATTAGGATTACAGAATGAAGGGGAAAAAAAGAGCTACTTACTATCCCATCTTGCTCCTTTCTTTCTTTTCTTTCAGTCAAGCATTTGAAAAGATGCAGTGTATATACTCACTGCCTCATATTTACTTCACGACAACTCATTAACCTACCACAATCTAGCTCTACCCAAGCACTCTGATGAAAATTGTTTTTATGCACTAAGACCTTGCACTTGCAATGTTCAATTCTTATCAGCTCTTCTGAGGCTTCTGACACTGTTGACTATCACCTTCTTGACTATTCCTGACACACTATTGCCTTGGATTCCTCCTAATTTTCTGGCTAGTAGTCCTCAGTCTTCTTTGGCCATTAAAATAGGATTTTCCAAAGAGTTTTATCTTTAGACTTCTTTTTTTTTTTTTAGACTTCTTTTTTTTTTTTTAGACTTCTTTTCTTGACTCTTCATATATTCCCCTTAACTCTACATTCCTTTGGTCTCTTAACTACACATGCTTTCCACACTAAGTTGATGGCTCCCAAATATGTATCTCCAGTCCAGATTTCATTCTTGTGCTCCTTTTTAACATACTAGTTACATACTGGACATTATTAATGTGCACAATAACTATTAAACCAGCATCTATTTCAGGCATTAACAATAAAGTGTTGTATAAATGAAAGAACAAGATAACTTATTCCCGGCCCTCAAGTTATTAGTGGCGACAAATGGTAAACAAGTACAATCAAGTTTTAGACGTTAAGATTTAAGGCTCAGTTCAAGTAGATAATAAACACTGTCGACAATCACAACATACTTCTCTAGTAAATCCGCTTTCTGACTCTGCAAGACACTGTATCACATTTTCTCCTCTTTCCTCAAATCCTACCATCACCACTCCCTCTGACATCTGAGTTGAACTGTAACCTCTCTTCCCTGCTCATCTCAGGTGATAACCCTGGTTCTTGCTTATTAGAGAAAACAGATATAACCAAATGGTAAGTGCCCTATATTCAATCTTCACTTATCCACATTCATCCACTTTCCCTCTCATTGCTATGACAACCCCTCACCTACCCCAAACTACTGAATTTAACCCATCTTTCTCCTGCATCCTTGGCATACAAATAAACCTTATATCACACATCTTTAAAAAAAGTTAACAGCCATCCAACTTCTATTTACATGAAAACTTGTGTTTTCATTTCCATCTCCATTTTCTCAATTTCTACCTTTTTTTCATCCCACCGTATTCTACGTTTATCCACTGAAATGATTATCATCGCAGTTACCAAAAATCTTCATCTCACCATATTCAATTATGTCTTCACCTTAGTATACCTCTCAGCAACTTAAAGCGGACCACTCTTTCTCCAGACAATTTTTCTTAGGTTTCTATAACACCCCACTCCCTAATATTACAATGTAAGCAGCAGGTCTTTTTTTTTTTTTTAATTCATTTCTGTATCTTCAGTACTTAAGACTAGTGTCTGGCACATAGTAAGTGTTCAATAAATATGACTGACTTATTGGATCCTCTCTCAAGTCTGGAACATACTAAGGTGCTCAAAAAATATCTTTGAAAACATTAATGAAGGATCCAAAAACTCCATAATCTGAGAATACTTCCAGGTTCCAGCTGCCTGTTAAGCCTAAGTGATTTATGGGAGGTTCAACTGCTCTACTGACTTTTAGGCCGAGAAGATCCTGATGCCAGATTCCAGGTGCACGTGAAGCAACTTAGGCTGTTAACATTACCACTGACACTAGGATAACAGGCTCTAAAGCAACAGTGACGGAAATGTGACTCAAGGAGCACATCCCTAAGGCCAGGGCCAGGATGGAATCTCCCCTCTGACAGGTAACTTCTGATTCTTCCCGCCAAAGGGACAACGGAGGGCCAAGAATGCTCTCTGGTCACGCCAGCAGCCAAGTGCTCCCCCTCCTCGGAAGAAGTCCCCAACACTCACGTTCGCCCTCTTGGCCGCTTGCATCGCCATCTTGGCGGACTGATGAAGTTACCGCAGCAAACACTTGAACTCCTCCACAAACACTTGAATTCCTCCGCACTCCTGGGAGCTCGCTCACTTTCGAGCGCAACAAGGCATCAGATGCAGGACATCAACACCCAGACCCCGCCGGAAGCTGTTCTAACTCGCCGGAATATCACAGTCCCACGCCGAAACGTGCTGACGTAGCCTACCCTTACAAATAAGACTCCAGAGCAAAATGGGTCTGAGGTACTTAACGAGGCCGGAAGGTTGAAAGGCGAGTCCAAGGCACTTCCGGGCTCTGAACCGGAAGGGGCGGGGCCTGGGCTTAAGAAGGGGAATGTTCCGGTCGTGGAGGCCGTGAACCGCGGAAGTTGGCTGGAGGGGGCGAGGCCCGAAGAGAGCTCCGCAAGGCGGAAGCGGGCCTCGCGAAGTGGGTCTGCACGCTGGTGAGTTGCGGGAGAGGACCGGCAGTGGAGTGAGGTCCCGGGCTGCAGGCCCCGCGCTGCGTGCGAGGGGACGTGTGCATGCGTCCGGGCCTCTGACTGCGCGGAGCCTGCAAGCTTCTGGCTGGTTGTGTTGTGGCCGACACTGTATCTGGTACTTAGAAGCCCTGGCGCTAGCGCAGGTCCCCGAAATTGGGCATGAGCTGACTAGGCCTCTACTCTAATCTCCGCGACTATGCCTGTCCTGACTCCCACCTCTCCCCCCAGCCGGCGACCGGAGTCCACGCGCCACTCGTCAAGTCCACTGTTTATTTCCTTAGATCGTCTTTATATTGATAATTTGAGGAGGCTGGGAGAGGAATAGGGGGTTACAGGCGAGCCTGGAGTGGCGCCCGATAGCCTGACTGCGTACAGAGTTTTCTCCCAAGTTTGCTGTCGGAAGACTGAAGGTAGCTTTGTCTTGTACTACCCCCTTCTTCACTGGGGCAGCTCCAGGACGATTTTGCCCACGTTCTTGTTAGTCTCCATGTACTCATGGGCTTCTTGGATTTCAGCCACGGGGTAGACTCTGTCCAGAACCGGCAGTAAGCGTTGAGGGCCCTCCGTGGAGAAGTGGGGCAGAATTTGCTCTGTGAAAGCCTTCACCAGCATCTGCTTGTACTTAAGATAAGGAAAAGAAGACCGTCAGCCTGGATGGAGGCCTTTCTTTGTCACTCCCCACCCTGCTTAGCGTTTCTGCTTTCTCTGAAACTTGTACACATATGAAGTCACACAAGAGTATGTAATAATCACCTCACTCCTAGCATGTATGTGCATGCCTCTAGATTTGTAAGCTCGGTTCTGTACTAGGTAAAGATCAAAGCCTGGTGAAAATATTAATGTCACTGCAAGCTGAAGGACTCTTTAAATAAGGACTTCAAGCAGGAGGCAGCCACAGAGAGGACTTATATAAGGCTCAATTCAAAAGAGATGCTTAACCCCTGTTATCCCCCAGCAGGTGTGAAACCCTGTGAGGAAACATTCCCAAAGCTGGCACCTGTTGGAATGCTACACAATTTCAGGAATGTATAATCTGTTAAAGGTAGAAACTTACTAACCTTACTTACCTAAGAGGTTTTCTTAGCACACTGAGAACAGTTCTGCCTTTGCAAACAAAAGTCTTGGTACTATTAGAAATACTTCCTAATATAGTCAAGGCTTTGTTCATTTTATATGAAGTTTACATACTATATTAAGTATTAACCACCCTCTTTCCAAGATGTTGAGGCCTTCATCAACCAATTTTAATTAGTTCTTGAAATTAGGTTACCAGTTTATCCACAGTGGGGCAGGTTTCTACAGGCTCTCCAACTTAATATGTGATCCTTTCTCAGGATTATGTGAATGAATCACACTTTTCTGGATGATAGTTAAATCACATGTTTTATTTTCACCCATCACTCACCTTTTTGTCCCTAGATCTTAGAAGACTGGTAATCAGACTTCCCCTTTTAAAAAGTAGCTTTGAAAACAGAGGCCCATTGACGTCAGCTCCTCCCAGCAGACCATAGAGAACCCAGCGACCATCAAGAGCCAGGCAGTTGACATTTTTCTCCCAGTAGGAGCCCCCTATGCAGTCTAGAATGAGATTGACTCCAGCACCTTTCACATGAAACACAGATTTGTAATGCTAGTCAGAATCAGAAAGATTGGTGCAAAAGAAGATTACATGGCATATTTGTGGAAATATGGGTATAAATATATACAAGTGCAAGCAGTAAATCTATAGATTGGAACCCAGAACATTGCTTATAGAACCATGGTTGTAAATGGAGTTTAGAGACCTGAAGTCTATCATATATGTGTGATATAGTTCATTTTTTATGATCCCTGCCACAGCAAGAGGGAAATGGGGCAACACCATGATCTGGTATTTTCCCTGACCTCCACATAAGTAGAGACCCACTGGCACCCAAGGGAATAGGGGAGACCCACCCCACCCTACAGGACAGGCTAGTCCATATCTAAGTTATGAAGTGTCTGCACAGGGTTCTCTGAATCATGGCTTTGCTAGCTTTCTTTTTAACTCTCTTTTTGATTCTTGTCAAAAAATGGAATGGGATGAGCCAAATATAAACAGATTTGGCTCTAGAATATAGAGGCATACACATCTACTTACCCACTTAGGACGCTACCTACCAAAGCCTACTATGACCAGCTCCAAACTAGTTTTTCCCAATCAAAAAATGTGCCAAAGAACTGAACAGACATTTCTCCAAAGAAGACTTACAGATGGCTAACAAACAAGTGCAATTCCAGAAAAATAAACGACCCAATCAAACTAGTTTCTACCCCTACTGGCTTTTAATTCACTACAGAGTGACTGGTTGGGAAAAAGAGGTCCTGAGTAATTCCAGGCCAACTCTGTGTGATTATCCCCTTTGTAAAAAGCATATGAATTGTATCACTTACAAGAATGCCCATGAAAATCACCTTAGTCCTAAATACTGCCTGCCTGTCTCCAGTGGTCAAACAGTAGAGTACTAGAATTTGGCCTGGGCAGGTGTTATGCTTTTAGCAGAGGGGAAAAAAATCCAGAAGCAACTTTGTGGCTGGTGAGAATTTTATTTAATTATCTCTGAAACTCCTGCTGAACTGCAGAAGCTTTGTTTACCTTTAGTGAATTTCAGTGTTGCTTCAGAAAAATCCTCTTCTTTGTAATTGAATCCTGCAGCTGCTCCGAGCTTTTCTGCTATTTGAAGCTTCTGCTGGGAACCAGCTGTGACCAGAGGAGTAGCCCCAACCATCCGGGCAAGTTGGATGGCAGCTGTGCCCACACCACTTGCTCCTGCATGGATTAGCACAGAGTCTCCAGCCTGCACATTTCCTGTGATAGAAAGTATAGGAACCATTTTCTTTACTTTGCAACTGCTATACCTTTACCACATAGGCTTATTCTACTGTGATCACCTGGCCCTGAGACCACCAAATGTCAAATCTCTTGCTGTCTTATTTTAAAAATTATTTTTATTTATTTGGCTGCATTGTGGCATGCAGGATCTTTGATCTTCGATGCAGTATGCAAATTCTTATTTGCGGCATGTGGGATCTAGTTCCCTGACCAGATTGAACCTGGGTCCCCTGCATTGGGAGCGTGGAGTCATAGCCACTGGACCACCAGGGAAGTTCCCATCCTTCACTTGAGAGTGAAGCAGCCAATCTCACCTTGATGCTTTTAGGCCACCTTGGTGTGCCTTCTGTCCATCACAGCTCTACCACCCTTCACGTCCTTCTATTCCAGAAAGCCTTTTCTGACTTCACCCATACCAACCTTTCTCACCTTAAGCTTCTGTTGTAGTTTATAGTTAGAGACAGGGCCACCCTTCCAAACACTGCTTCTCTTCCCAGTTACACTGACTTCCCCAAAGGCAGAGACCCTCACATGAGCTCTTGGCTGGCCTCAGTGGGAGTGAGGAGGAATTAAAGAGTTGGTTGAATGGCTCCACCTCCTGCACTAGGGCTCTCAGAGAGCTTAGCAAGACTGAGAAGCTGGCCTCTGGACTTCTCTGGGGCCAGCAGCCGCCCAAGCAGGGGCCCGGGGCCGCGGGCTCAGCCGACTACCATGGGCTCTGTGTCAAACCAGCAGTTAGCAGGTGGCTGCGCCAAGGCGCCGGAGGATGTGGCCCGCGCGGCGGAGGAGCCGCAGCTGCTGCACGGTGCCGGCATCTATAAGTGGTTCAACGTGCGCATGGGGTTCGGCTTCCTGTCCATGACCGCCCGCGCAGGGGTCGCGCTCGACCCCCCGGTGGATGTCTTTGTGCACCAGAGTAAGCTGCACATGGAGGGCTTCCGGAGTCTGAAGGAGGGTGAGGCCGTGGAGTTCACCCTTAAGAAGTCTGCCAAGGGCCTGGAATCTATCTGAGTCACCGGCCCTGGTGGGGTGTTCTGTATTGGGAGTGAAAGGCGGCCCAAAGGGAAGAATATGCAGAAACGCAGATCAAAGGGAGACAGGTGCTACAACTGTGGAGGTCTAGACCATCATGCCAAGGAATGCAAACTGCCACCCCAGCCCAAGAAGTGCCATTTCTGCCAGAGCATCAACCATATGGTAGCCTCGTGCCCACTGAAAGCCCAGCAAGCTCCCAGCTCCCAGGGAAAGCCAGCCTACTTTCGGGAGGAGGAAGAAGAGATCCATAGCTCTGCCATGCTCCCAGAGGCTCAGAATTGAGCCACAGTGGGTGGGGGCTATCCTTTTGTGATCAGAAAGCTTTGAGGAGCAGGCATCAATCGGCAGAGTGGAGAAAGTGGGGACAGGGTGGGTAGGGGGCAGCTGGCACTGCCATATATCTGAGGCTGGAATCCACAGCATCATCCCCTCTTCCCCCTTGGTGGGAAGAAGGGGTGAGGCAAAGAAACTCCAATTAGCTCTTTCCAAATGCATATGAGGGCTTTGGGGGTTAACCCTCCCTGCATGCTTTATATGAGTCTCCACCCCCAGAATCTCCAGCTTTTGAAAGTGGCCTGGGTAGGGAAGTTGTTTTGAAGAAGAATATGGAATAGTATTTCCCATATCAGAGTGTGAGAAGAACAGATTGATGGACCCAACCAACAAGCCACCACATTCCATGGGAGGAAACATCTCGGGGGCGGGGGGGGTGGCAGGGTTTTTGTCTTCTCTCCTCATAACCCCCTCTTGGGACAGAATGCTAAGAACTGTCCCAAGTAATGGATTATGATGACAGATAAAGGGGTGATCGAGGGAAGAGCTGCAGATTTGCTGCTTCTAAGCTCACTCTCACCCCATTCTGGGCCAACTCAATTTTATTTATTTGCTGCCTTGGGTGACTGTACCTTGGGTCCCACTTTCTCCAGGATGCCAACTGCACTAGCTCTGTGCGAATGACATATCTTGTGCATTTTAACTTTTTTTTTGTAATATAAATATTCTGGTTTTGTATTTTTGTATATTTTAATCTAAGGCCCTCATTCCTGCACTGTGTTCTCAGGTACATGAGCAATCTCAGGGATAAGTCAGCAGCAGCTCTGGGTCTGCACGGCAGGAATGCTTTTTGTTGCTGTATCATCAGAGAAAACAACTATTTGGAGTGTATAGCCTATTGAACTACCTCATTTTTGCCAATTAGAGCTGGCTCTTCTGCCATAGTGTCCTCTAGAAATCCCTCCATCTTCAGCGTTTCATGAGAGACTAGGTTTTAACTGGGTTGCCCCATGACTTGGTCTCCTTCCTACTGAAAGATTGGAAATTGGTCTGAACAGGAAAACTTGGTGCAGAGAGGCTGGGCCAGGTAAGAAGTGCAGAGAGGGGAAGCCAAGATTTAGGTAAAGTTCATCTGTATGTGTGATAAAGGATTCCTGTTCTAGATCTATAATCCCAGGACTCGCTTTATATACCAGATCCATCCTTCACCTGACTGGGCTAGGCTGGCCATGCACAACAGGGGGTGTGTGTTTTATAAAAAATGGAAGTTGGTAAGGAGAGGTTTTTAAGAATAATGCCTCTGTACCCATCTTGAGCTGCCCAAGGATGGATATGTGAAGCAAGGACAAGATCTTTAACGATTCTGGGCTTTTCCTCCTTGGCTTCTGGAGACACCATCAGCAATGGCTTCTTTGTGGTTCCCAGAGCCAGGGTCCTACCCTGCTGCAGCAGTGATTAGTATCATGGCAGCTAAAGGAGAAAGGGCGGTGGCGGGCGGGGGGGGGGGGGGGGGTGTGTTTACAAGCTGTGAGATCACTGCAGACCTACCTCACTGTGTTGTCATGGGGCAAATGCAATAGAACGCATTGGGTGATGTGTGTCTGATCCTTGTCTCTCCCAACTGCTGCCCCCCCTCTAGTTATTATATTTGTCTGGGCTTTGTAGGACTTCACAAGTAGCTGATTTGGTGATTGCTAGGTGGCCTAGTTTGTGTAAATATAATGTGTTGGTCTTCTCCATGTTCTTTTGGGGTTTTATTGTTTACAAACTTCTTTTTATATTGAGAAAAATAGCCAAAGCATCTTTGACAAAATGTTCTGCACCAGGCAAAAAGATCTGAAACATAAGCTTGGGAGCCCCTCTTCTTGAAGTTGGGGGGGGGGTCTTGAACTACACTTTCTTTTGTGTTCCCCTTCCTCTATTTCCTATTTCAAACAAGATCTGTCCTAAAAACTAGATTCCTACCCCATCCTCTTCCACGTTTGTGCCCCCCCAAATAGACCATATACCTATATGTTTAATTTGTGGGGTATCTGTGATTAAGTGATTTGTGCAAAAATCCTGAAGAAGCTAAGATCTCTCCATCCCTTGTTCCCAATCTCGAGTCACGTCCATTCCTTGATGTGATACATGCTACATGGACTGTTGTATTTGGATGGATCAAGACCAACTTTAATTTCTAATCCAAGGGTAGAGAGGAGCAGTGAAGGGGGCCTTCCATGTAGAAGGTGGGGCTGGGAGACCACGAAAGGAAGGATGGATGTATATCCAAGTCACTCAGGAACTTTTATGCAGGTGCAAGAAACTTATGTCAAAGTAGCCACAAGATTGTTTAATAGCAGACGGATGAATGTAACTCCATGTTTACTGCTAGAAACCGAAGCTTTGTACGAAATCTTGAATTTATGGGGAGGGAGGGAGGGTAGAAAAGCATGTACCCATCTGTTCTTTTCCTCATTCCTGAACGGCAGGAGACAGAGCCCCTTGGGCTTTGGCGACCCCATCTGGGCAGTGTTTATTTGATGGCTGATATTTCTGTGCCAGGTACTTCCTTTCCCATTTGCTATCATTTTGTAACACACACGCTGGCCCTTTTCCTTTCCCTTTCTTTTCCTTGGGAATATACAATAAATAAAAACTTACTGGTACTGAAAAAAAAAAAAAAGACTGAGAAGCTGGGACTACTACTGGGCTTACAGTGAGAAGATGCACACAGGCCTTCTATCCAGTGCTTACCAGTGCTTTTCTATCTGCTAACCATGATTTTCAGCCACATCAAGCCATTGCTACATAGTATGAGGATCTGATACTAAGTAGGGTGAGGTGCTGGGGTTGGCTGTTGCTCAGTGGCCAGATCAAAGCTGCCCTTCAGGAATGCTGGGTTTTGAGGTGGCTGAGTTATGAATAAATGAATAAATTAAACTATGCTGTATGGAGTGAGCATGGGGTGGGGTGGTCCTTACCCACGAGATGTAATAGCTGGAAGGCGGTGAGCCAGGCCTCTGGGATGGCTGCAGCCTGGCACATGGTCAGTCCTGCCGGGATGGGCATGAGGAGCTCTGCAGGAACAGTGACATACTGAGCCTGGCCCCCGCCAGACAGCAGAACCATGGCTGGGTCCCCGACCTTCCAGGGTCCCTGGTAGCCAGCTCCCAGCTCTGCCACGTGTCCAGATGCCTCGAGTCCCAAAATGTTGCTGGCTCCTGGAGGTGGGGCATACTGGCCTTGTCTCTGCAGAAAGAGGACACACTAGGTAGTAAGCATGATCAGAAATCTGTGTCAGCATCCCTGGCTTTCTTCCCATAGCTCCCCTCCTCCCCCTTTAAGACAAAATTCAGGGTAAAATTAGGTTTTTTAAGTCAAGAAAAAAGAGAGGGGAGGTAATTTGTTTCATACAAGTAAGAGACTATAGGTCCCATAATCAGTGGATATGTAACTTGTGGTGTCACTTCCACCCCTTGTATCATCTAAACCCTTTGTTTTACAAATGAAGAAACTGAGGCCTAGTTAGGGGAACCAGGGTAGCAAAATAAGTTAATAGCAAGACTAGTTACTAAACCACGGGCTTCCTAATGATATATCTCATATATCAAGTGCCAGGCTCTGTACTCACGCCTCACAATCGCCAGAGGGACTGAACTAGGAGTGTGCCTCAGAATAATTTGAGATTCTTTTCAAAGTATACATGCCTGGATCCCTGCCCTATTTATTTTAAGTGCCCCTGTGATTCTGGTGTACATTTCTTAATCACTTCAAAAAATGCAGGTGACCCAGTTTAGTGCTTCTAGAAGAAGTTGGAAGAAAGTTCTTAAGAGCACTGCCCTCTGCCAGCTCTGGAACCCTTAGAGTGGAAAGAATACAGACTCAGGTGCCTTAAAACAAAGACCTCAATCTGAATCACTGCTCCCCTGGTTACTAGTGTGTGGCTTTGGGCTCATTGCTGAACCTCTCTGACTCTCAGTTTCTTTATCTGTAGAGTACAAATGGTGAACAGGATTGCCTGAGGAGCGGTTAGGAGTCCTGATTTTCACCCAGGCGGCCCAGGTTTGACTCCTGGTGTAAGGATGCCAGCCTTTGAGGCGGGGCTTCCCTAGTGGCTCAGATGGTAAAGAATCCACCTGCAATGTAAGAGACCTAGGTTCTGAAAGGTTGTTGCTGAACCAGGAAAGACGCCAGGATTCTTGGCCTCCGGAAGAGAGGAATTCAATCCAGGGCCAGTGACGAGGCTTGATCGCGCAGAGCTTTTGTGTAATAAAGTTGTATTAAAGTATAGAAGAGACAGAGAAAGCTTCTGACATAGACATCAGAAGGGGGCGAGAAGAGTGCCCCCTGCTAGTCTTTAGCCGGATGTTATATAGCTACTAGCAAGCTGTTAATTATAGAAAGGAGATGTCTCAGAACTCAGCCCCAAGGCCCTCACCCACAACATGCATTTTGAGATAACACTGGCACCAGGTGAGTCATCCTGGGCCATAAAACCATTGACATGAATCTTGAAGAAGGGCAGGTTTCCAAGTAAATATATGGTTTCATTAACATAGATTAAGAGTAAAATATGCAGGTTTGTCAAGTCTTAGGCAAAACCGACTTGAAGAAAGACAAAGTCGAGGATATAGTTCATTAACATAGCTTAAGACAAACATTTCCAAAATAAAAATGCTTTGGTTAGCTCAAGGTTTGAGAAAAGTTCAGGTGGAACCAGGTTTCATTATGGCAACACAGAATTTTAAGAGAAACCTCTTTAAATTTGTATAGAGAAGGGAAAAAATCTAACACTCCTGCCACTTAAGAGAGAGAGAAAAAATGTCTGACACTTGAAGCCTATTTCCTCCTTTTGGAGACCCCTGGCCTTCCTGCCTGTTATCCTCAGTTCAATCCCCGGTCAGAAAGATCCCCTGGAGAAGGGAAGGGCAACCTACTCCAGTATTTTTGCCTGAAGAATCCAGTGGACAGAGGAGGCTGGTGGGCTACAGTCCATGGAGTTGCAGAGAGTCAGACAAGACTGAGCTGACGCTTTGACTTTTTCACTTTCAAAGGAGATACAGGGAGGTCTAACACCCACCCCGCCAAGAAATGTGGAAGCCTGAGCAGGCAGACAGTGGAGCGACACAGGGTGGCCTGTGCTGTGCACATACCCCTTTACTTTGTGTAAAACATGGGAGGCTAAATGGTTCTAGTTTCAGAACCCGGAGGAAGCAGGTCATGATGAGTGTTAATGGCAGTGCCTAAAGTCTCCTTCATCTGTCTGGTGAATACTTATTAAAGACCGCGTTGCCCTGTTCGGTCCCAGCTGCTGCCAGACCCCTGGGTACCTGGAGTAAGTCCGCCCTATTCAGGGCGCTGGCTGCCACCTTCAGGAGGACTTCACCCTCGCCTGGGCTGGGCTTGGCCACTTCCTTCAAGTAAAGATTTTCTGGTCCTCCCGGCTTGTCAAAGTGCACAGCTATCATGATCTCTGAGGACACACAGGGTACAGCAAACTTCTCTGAGGGGCCCAGTGCCCCACTGCCGGCCAGCGGCCTTCCTCAATCCGTCTGGCTGCCGGCCCCTGCTCTCCTTCCAGCGAGGCCCCTGCCGCCTCCAGGCCAACCCCGCGCGGAAGGCGCAGGCTGGGATGGGGGTGCAGGGACGCTGGCCGCACCGACTGGCTGCGTGCGGAACAGGAAAACATTGAAGAGCGTGAGGCAATTTTCACTCCCTCTGAGTTCGAATCTCTCACCTGTCTGGATCGCTGGAGCCGGTGTGAGCTCCTTACTGGCTCCAGGCCCGGCCTCTGCTGCTGTTGCCGCTGCTTCAGGTGACGGGGCGGTCCTGGGCGCCCGGCGGGTCCTAGGAGCGGGACCGCTGCACTCTGGGTAGTGCAGGGGGTGGGGTTGGCCGGAATCAACCCTCCCCTTCTTCCTTCTCCCTTGAAAATGCCAAGCTAGTGGCGGCAAATCAGATTTTTGTGAATTTTGAGCCTCTGGAATCTAGTCCTTCCCTTGGTTTAGCGTGAAATGCTGTTAGGCACTCAACTTTGAGAATCCTTCCCTCTCTTCAAGGGAACTAGAACCGGAACTCTTGGCGGACGACCGGTCCGTTTCCCAGCCTGGCAGGCTTTTGGCTGGTTTGTGCTGTCAGTCTCTTTCTGCCCTTGGTCTCTGGAGTAAGGTGGGCAAGCAGGGTGCTTCTGAGAAAAAAAGAGGAGGAAAAGGGGGAAAAGGGAGGATAAAAGCAGTCCTGGGATTCTTTAAACTTCTGTGGTTTCTCCTGTCTTTCCTGAGGATGAGGGAGTGGCCCTTGGAAGAGGCTGCCCAGTGAGAAAATTTAGCCTGGTTAAATAAAAGCCGTATAGATGCTTATTACATCAAGGTCTCTCAACCTCGCCACAATTGACATTTTTGGACTAAATAATTTTTTGTTTGGAAAGACTTCCCAGTGCAGCGTGGGGTGTTTAGCAGCACCCCTGGTCTCCACCCATTAGATACCAACAGCACCCTTCTACAGTTGTGACAATAAAAAAAGTCTTGACATTGCCAGATATCCCTAGGGAGCAAAAAAAACCACCTGCTTCTGGTTACAAGCCAAACTGGATTAGAAGAATACACATGTATGTGCACCTGCATAAAAAGGTAACTTTTTTTTGCAGTGTCTTATAATTTGCCTCTTCACATGTGTTCTCGAGTTTTTTTTCTTTTTTTTTTTTAAGTTTTATGACACTTCACTAAAAAGGAATTGAGATGTATCAACAGAAAGATTAATTTGGTTTCAAGGGGCACATAGCTGATGAGTGTCAGAGCCAGAAATCAAACTCTGTCTCTCCTGTCCTGCCCAAGGCTCTAGAGTAGAAGGAAAGACTGCCTGGGGCACCCATCTGTCCCTTCAATTACAAACTCCCTTTCTCTTTATTTACATCCCTCTCCTGATATCCCTCTCTTGTAAGAAGGCTACCCAAATTACATATTTTTATAAGGCCTGTTTTCTAGAAACGCCTGTCAGCTGCTGTCCCTCCTCTTGTCATCTGTGTCAAAACAACTATTGCAAGAAAAGGGACAGAAGCAGCCCAACGGTGTATTCAGAGGGAAGGTCCAGCCTTTTCTGGAAACTTTGTGGTGGGTATTTTTTGCACTTTTTTTGGGTAGGCTCTAGTGTCTCAGAGGGACCATGTCCCAGGGAGGGCAGGAACTTGTACTGCTGACTCCCTGATAATTAAAGAATAAGACCCAGGGGACTTCCCTGGAGGTCCAGTGGTTAGGACTCGAAGCTTCCATCGCTGGTGGCATGGACTCCACCCCTGATTGGGGAACTAAGATCCCACAAACCACGCAGAGCAACAGCCTTATGAAAATACGTAATTGTGCCTCTCTGAGGACACTAACCTCCCAAAGGGTCAACAGAGAGCTCTGCTGGAAACTACAAAAACAGGTTGATTTCCTTAAAACATCCTTGCTCCAGCCCCTTTTTGTCAAAATATAAGTTGTGGAATTGGGTGGTAAATTTTAGATGACTGGTTGCTGCAGCAGTATTCCACAGTCCATGTCTCTGGCCTTAGAGGAACTCCCCCACAGGTTCATGTTTTAGCAGAACAAGCAAGATCTGTGTTAGGAATGAGGTGGAAGGATGTGTCCCAGAAACCCAGCTGATGTGAGGGTACAGCTGCTGCTGCTTATCCTGAAAGTTAAATGGGGGTGAGGGCATAATCTCTCTCAGATGTCCTCTGAAGGGTTCTGCGTAAACCAGCAGCTTCTGTGGTAACCACACTCAAGCTTGGGCAGCCCAGCAGCTCAGTGATGACAACTGGTCCTTGCCTAGAGGAGCTGGGGCAGTTCACCTCTGGGTACTATGCCAGCTTCTGTGCCTGTAGGACTTTGTCTGGGCTCTTCCTCCCCTCTCTCCATGGGCACTCCACCCAGAGGTTGGAGGGCAAATCTCAGGAGCAAAGACTCAGGAAGGCTCTAGGAAAGGAAAGAGCTTGGAGTCAGCTTGGTGGGGCTGCTTATTTAGTTACCTGCCTCTGCCATTTTCCTGGGGACCCATCCGTATGACTCAGGGCCCAAGACAGTTCTTACTCCAGGCAGTGGTCTTCATCAGTAGACAAAGCATTTTAAAAGCTGCGTTCCTCATATTTTAAAGTTGATACCTAAAATTTTTCATCTTACATTTAAGGTAGTACAAAAGACATGATTTCTGGTCATAAATACTGACATTTAAAACTCATATCAGGCTTTTAAATGTATCAAGTGGAGTTGGATTTTAGAGCAATTTGATACTATAATCATCCACTAAAAAGTACCCAAACAAGTTCTTTAACAGTTAGAAGTTTTAAAATTTCATTTTTTCCCAATACTTATATTTTCATTCTACATAAAAATTACATCCTAAAAAAAAAAATTACATCCTGCTATGTTTTATGCTTTATTGATCATTCTTATCTGCAAGAAAATAAATGTAACCTGACATTAGCTTAAAAATTTTCTGTGATTGTAGGGCTATAAAGTGTTAAATTTCTTCTGGGTTTACTTATTATTACAGTATTATTAGTTCACAGCTGATCAAAACATTATTTTGAATTACTTTTATGTTATTTAAAGTATTATTTTAGGGGAAGTCCCTTTCAGGCCAGTGGTTAGGACTCTGCTCTCACTGCTTAGGTTTCAGGTTCTATCCCTGGTCAGGGAACTAAAATCCCACAGGCTGCATGGCATGGCCAAAGTAAAAGTATTATTTTGAATGTTAATAATTATTGAATATAAAATTTTTATTGGACCATTGGTGGGGTTGAATTTTTCCAAATAATTATGTCATCTTTGGATGAATATTAATAATTGCTTGAATGAGACTAGTCTCAGCATTAATCTTTTTCATTGTTATGGACAAGCTCTGAGAAACCTAATTTGCATAAATTAGAAGGGAGAGAAATTTCTTTATAGGAATGTCAGCCAATTATTTGAATACCTCTGAGTTATATGATTAAAAACCATATAAGGATTTATCATCCGAGATTATTTTCAGTGATCTATTAGCTGGTAACTTAATTAAGTCTTCCTTCAATTTTGTTGAAAGCAAAGATTTGGAAACCATTCAACCTGTAAGGGATTAGTTACCCAGTCCTATGTGTTGTTCTCAGCTTCTGGGATTATTGCCAACAAAGCTTTGCAAAGATTTATCAAATGATTATTATTTCTGCTTCTGTTTCTTAGAGGCCCCTTGTTTATATATATTCAGGAGGATGTGGAAAGTAAAAGTGTTAATTCTAATACACTTTTTTGCTAAGACAATTCTTTGGACCAAATCCTCTTAAATATGTATTTGGTGGGGAGGGATGAACTGGTAGATTGGGGTTGCCATATACACAGTACTATATATAAAATAGAAAACTAATAAGAATCTACTGTATAGCACAGGGAACTCTACTCGATACTCTGTAATGATCTAGTAGAAGAATCTAAAAAAGAGTGGCTATATGTATATGTGTAACTGATTTACTTTGCTGTAGAGCAGAAACTAATGGAGCATTGTAAATCAACTATACTCCAATATAGATTTAAAAAATAAATATATTTTAATTGACATCTTGGCATTGTAAACTTAACCCATTTATCAACAACATCTGTGACATTCTTATTGGCAAAGCCAGCCACCATTGTTAAACTAATCAGCCAACTCATATTTCTATCAGAAAAGGTTTCTCATTTTTCAAGTAATCATGTTATTTCATGTCTTTATGATAACTGTCTTCTGAATTTTAAGAAACGTGGATAAGATGAGGAGTCTCTCTCTCCTGGATGAATTATGATACAAAGATTTTCACTATTTCTCAATGATGCTCGTTTTGATTTATTCTCATGGGACTCTTTTTCACATATGATGTATTTTTTACAGTACAGGATGGAAGAGCTCATTAAGTTTAAAAATAATTGAGAATTTTCCTTTCCTTTGGCACCTTGCAGTTCTTACACTCCGAGCCAAGTATTACAGCAGGACTGGGGCTGAATGAGAGTAGGCCTTTCTTTTGCATCCTGGAACTGGCATTACTGCTCAATCACAACAGGTAAATTTTAGGAAAGTACATATGGAAGTTGGGGACCTGGGGAAAAAAAATGAATCCCTTGAGTACATTCATGCCTGTATGTACCATTTCAAGTCTTTGTGAACTATTAGGACAAAAATTTTCCTTGTTCGGAGACCCCTGTTTTAGAATATCACCTGCTTCCTGGGCACCTCCACAGGGTGCTGCCATCAAAGGGTCCCTTTTGTGGGTCTGAGTAGATGAGCCAGATCGGAACTTTGTGGTAAGAATTGTAGGAAGCAACTAGACCGTGCTACATAGGAGGACTCTAGACAGTGAGGCATTTGCTTTGATGAAGTTTATGAAATAGCCTCCCACTCGGCACCCAGCAGTGCCGTGTGCATGTGCAGCACACAGCAGCAGTGCAGTGTGTGTGTGTGGCACAGCAGCAGTGCAGTGTGT